AAAAACAAATATTATAAGAGTTTTTTAGGTGGAAAAAGCTACGAATGTCTTTATCCCGGGTGTACTGTGATCCCGACAAGTCGCAACGAATATGTGACACATAGAAAAACACACGGTCAGCCCTTCATCTATGAATGCAGAGCGCCCGGTTGTGGGCGAATATTCAGCAGTGAATCGTCATTTCGCAAACACAAGGAAACGCATATACTTCATCCTCAGTGCGAGGATTGTGGCAAATTTTTCACCACCAGGAATGGACTGCAAAACCACAAAAAGATCTGCCAAACAAAATCTCGTTAGTTTATAAATTTAGCAAATTTTAATAGATATGTCAGCCTGAAATAGAATGCATGTAAAATTTGTTGCGAAGCATTTGTGACCGCAGAGTGACCTAAGAACCAACTGCTTAAAAAGGTGTTGACAGTGGTGGCAGTGACGTTTCAATATACATCAACAAACATTGAAAATATTAGCAAAGTAATAAATATTCCATCCACTCTTGGCCAAATTGCTTTGTTTTTCTAATTCATGGAAAGTATGCAGAAAAGCATATCATTTCATCCACAAAACCAAGCTGCGATGAACTGCTAATCATTTCTTTTGGCGTTACAAAACAAGCAAAAATTTTCATTCCAGAAAATGAGATACAATTTGGGCATTCTTCGCAAACATAAGAAGAGGAGCGCAGCAATCAGCCGTTTTCGAAGCATCAGAATGCAGCTAATAATTTATAATTTAATTTTGTTATTGGATTATTTAATATTTTATCGTTATTCATTATCCCATGAATATCATAGAAATGCATAAACGTATAATTGACAGCGAAATTTGAAGGCAAGCAATTAAATGCGAGATGTTTCAGACTGGATTAATTTCTTTTTTCTTTTAAAGTCGCGCAACAGTATTACAGAACCAAATGAATTAGTAAATCCATTTTATATGGCATTTAATGGAAAATTATTTTCCCGTATAAATTTTTTTGCAATTATTGTACTGTTTTTGTTTTTTGTTTTTTGCAATTTAACAATTGTAATTTATTCTTTAAAATAGTAATAAAGAAATGGTTGCTTTGAACTGTTCACTTCATGCAGTCTTATAATGAATAAAGGTAAAATGTGTCAAATTTTATTTAAGTTTATTTGTGAAATCAATAATAATTGAAAGGTAAATTTCAACATTTGTCACAAAAGCAAATCAGTCATAATTTTTAAATGATTCAAAACAATTTTGTGATTATTAAAAATAATACTGTAATTAGTTAAAATAACCATTTTAACTCTTACATTTAGTAAAGAACAATAATAGCACAATAAATAGATGAAAGGAAATTCTTAAAAAATATTCCGGACTGTTTTCATGCTTGCATTACTTTTAGATAGTATATTTCATTTAAAATTTTAGCTTTAGTACTTGCAAAATATTTTGATGACATCATATTCAAATTATTTTAGCGGAGAATTCATTAAAATGTGAATTTCAAAATGTTACAAAGTTAACAAAATTGAAATTTTATATAGTGATAAAATAAATATAACTTATTTGATATTTTCTCTGGTGTTATAGCTTCTGTCGATATGACCCTCCATTTTCGTCATAATTCTTTCCATAATATTGTTGCCAATTGTTTGAATATAAATTATTTGAAGATATTGAAATGGTGGCTTTCAAATTTAGAAATATTGCATTTAACAAAATTAAAAAATAAATTTGGTTTTGTCAGATTGGTCTACTTGTATGCATTAACGTAACATAGCTGTTAATAAAATTCATTTCTGATTTCTTATAACACGTGAAAGCTATCAAGATATTTATTATACATTATTTTTATGCTATCATGATTAATTTCTCTAAATTATATCACTTCAACTTATGTATTTAGCTAACAATTTTAACTATTTATTGTAAATTAAACATTATTTTCATTTGATTTTTTTATTTGAAGTTTTTTAAAATACAAATTTCAACAAATTTTGCATATAACGAAATAAATTTTAAATTATTTACAAATGTTAACTTTTGTAAATAATAAAAACAATGATGTAATAGAAGTTCTTTCATTATCTACCATTTACTTTGCACGTTAAGACTTAGACTAAATTGCAACTAGCTTACTTTTTTTTCTTATAAAACCATTTCTTTGCTTAAAATCATCTCGTGTTGCTCACTTTTGCCACAAATTATTATTAAAATAATACTTCTCTAGTATGTTTTTTATTACCTTTTTGCATGATAAATCCTTTATTGAGCGTTGCATTTAATTGTCGCGGATTTTAATTTCGCGAAGCACTAAATAAATGTTAACAATGCTTAATATAGCAATCCATTGATGTCTTTTACAATTCATTGTACTGGTTTAATTAACTTTTGATCTCATATCAATTCATTTACTTTGTGAACAATATATTGTAATGTCTATTGTAACTCATAGTAGCCAATTATCATAATGTCTAGACAAACCATAGTACTTTCTTTTGTAATATCCATTCAATTCATCGTGATATCCATATTTAAACCTATTGTTAAAGTTACTTACTATCATACTTTGTACAAAAATGTCTAATTATAAACCATTTCTACATTTTAACATATATAATATAAGATAATTACTACATAAGGTTCACCCTTGTTAAAAGATTGGGGATGTGTGTAATTTATAGCCAGGACCGACGATTCCAATTTCAATTGTTCTCTATTAACGTTTTGTCCTATTACTTCTGCTAATAAAAATTGGTTTATATTTCTGTTACCTCACGCATTTACATCCAAGACAATCTCCTGCGATCAAACACCTCTTCCAATATTATTAATTAAGCAAACCAAACCTTCCACAACATTAATTGCTTGCCCTCAAATTTTAGGTTTCATTGTCAATTATATATTTATGCATTTCTATGATATTCATGGGATAATAAACAACGATAAAATATTAAATAATCCAGTAACAAAATTAAATTATAAATTATTAGCTGCATTCTGATACTTCGAAAACGTCTCATTGCTGCGCTCCTTTTCTTATGTTTGCGAAGAATGCCCAAATTGTATCTCATTTTCTGGAATGAAAATTTTTGCTTGTTTTGTAACGCCAAAAGAAATGATTAGCAGTTCATCGCAGCTTAGTTTTGTGGATGAAATGATATGCTTTCTGCATACTTTCCATGAATTAGAAAAACAAAGCCAATTTCGCCAAGAGTGGATGGAATATTCATTACTTTGCTAATATTTTCAATGTTTGTTGATGTATATTGAAACGTCACTGCCACCACTGTCAACACCTTTTTATGGTTCTTAGGTCACTCTGCGGTCACAAATGCTTCGCAACAAATTTTACATGCATTCTATTTCAGGCTGACATATCTATTAAAATTCTGCTAAATTTATAAACTAACGAGATTTTGTAGGGCAGCGCTTCTTATGATAATTCAGTCCATTCCTGCTAATGAAAAATTTGCCACAGAGCTCGCACTGAGGACGAGGTTCATGCGTCTGTATGTGATTGTAAAATGATGAATCATGGTCAAATATTCGTCCACAACCGGGCGCTCTGCACTCATAAATGTAGGGCAAACCGTGTGTTTTTCTATGTGTTATAAATTCTTTGCGACTTTTCGTTACCATAGCACATCCGGGGTTGAGACATTCATAGTTTTTCCGCCTAAAAACACTTATATTATTTGTTTCTGCAGTCGCCATTTTTTTCTTACAATGTTTGACAGCCAATTATGTAATCTGATTATTTATAAAAACATCACTTCTTAGCACATCTCATTTCAGATAATTTACATCACTAGAAGCTATGTTTTCTAAAAATTTTCTGTGTATTTTTCTTGTACATGCATTCTGTTTTAAACTGTCATATACTTCTAAAATTCTGTTAAATTTGCAAACTAACGAGAATTTATTTGGCAGAGTTTCCTATGTCTAAATAGTGCATTCATGCTACTGAAGAATTTGCCGCAATCCTCGCACTGAGAAAGAGGTTCATGCGTCTGTATGTGATTGTAAAATGATGATTCATGGTCGAATGTTCGCCCACAACCAGGCACTCTGCATTCATAGATGAAAGGTTGACCGTGTGTTTTCTTATGTGTTAGATATTCGTTACGACTTTTCGTGACCATAGCACATCCGGGATAAAGGCATTCACAGCTTCGTTCGTCTGAATGATATTTTTGCAATTGATATTTTCTTATGCGATAAACCATAAAGATATCATTCCCATGAAATAACTTACCAGATTCCATTTTAAATAATTTAGATCACAAGAAATTGTTTAATTTTTCTTGAGTATAGTTACAACAAAAGCAGTAATTGTGAATTTTCGTTGTGTTGTCACTCAGCACTCACAAATGTTTCGTAGCACATTTCACACGCATTCCACTTCAGGATGATACATGTGTTTGAAATTCTGTTAAATTTACAAACTGACGAGATTTTGTTTGGCAGAGTCTCTTGTGTTTTCGCAGTGCATTCCTGTTGGTGAAGATTTTGCCACAATCCTCGCACTGAGGACGAGGTTCATGCGTCTGTATGTGATTGTAAAATGATGATTCATGGTCAAATATTCGCCCACAACCGGACACTTTGCATTCATAGATGAAGGGCTGACTGTGTGTTTTCCGATGTGTTAGATATTCTTTGTGATTTTTCGTGGTCACAGTACATTCCGGGTAATAACAAGTATAATTTTTCTTATCTGAAAAATTCTTGTCAAAATTTTGCAATCAGTAGTCCATTACACCATTTGGCACTTAAATAATGTGAGAAATCATATAAATATCATCGCTATAAAAAAATATCACATTGCATTTTGAATAACTTAGGTAAAGGTAGTTCTTTACTTACCTTTCATATTTTGAAGCCAAAGTCATACTTTGAATATCACCTCTTCAATTTCATGCGAATAATGAAAGCAAAGAACTATTAGAACGAAAAGTTGTTATGCAATGTGTCATTACCTGTTTCTGATTTTTTATAGGCATTTTCCTTGTAATCGAGGATATTTAAGTAATCTGAATGCTTATTGTCGATGTTGCTTTGTTCAGCAGTTGCACTTTGACTGGAAGTGTTATCTGAGGAAAAGTAAGCTGGTGAAAATAAATCGGAACGGCATTTTGTTGTGAGCCAGGTAAGTGCATATATGTGATAATATCATCGCTGTTGAGATTAAGTGAGGAAGAAGTTTCATTCTGAGCATCTAAATAACTCAAATTACAAGAAGTTTATTTATCTTTAAATGTATCTAAAACAAAACTCTCACCTCTAATGGAAGGATATCGCAGGTTATCATCACTCGTTTTTAATTCTTCGTTAGTATCTCTCCACAGATTCCTGTATGAGTCCATATCTGAGCTAAGTGATAACTCAAAATTAGTGTGACCGAAGGGATCATAGATATCGGAGAAGCCAGGATGAGGAGAATTTGTGATCTGATTAGTTTCAGATTTCGATTCTTTACTGCTTATATCCTCAGTTTCACTCAACTGAGCGAAATCAATGAACTGTGAAGGATCGGATGGAAATTCTGAGCTAAACATTGGCTCAAAATTGAGGTAATCGAGAAATCCAAAGGTATCTGAGATGCCAGAATAAGTATTATTTGTAATAACTTCATTAGCGGTGTCGAAATTAGGTAGATGGAAAGTTTCATTATCAGAAGCGATGCATAGTAGAAGATTGAACCAAGTGATGGGTGTCATAAATATATTGAAGAACATGGTGAAACACACAATTTTGTGAGATGACAGAAATGCTCAAATGGAAGCTTTTTATTTCAGATTGCTTGGATTTAAAGATCAAAGGTTTTTAATCGTTGTGAAAAGTTAAATACCACAGGTGAAACAGTTTCAAATCCTCATTGTTTTTAATATTTTTTCCCTTTCATTCTTGCTTTCCTCTCCACCATTTGTGGTTTATAAAGTTTATAAATGTTCTTTTGAAACCCGAAGGAAGCGCTGCAGTAGCTTGTTCCACCATTTCAGTAATACGTGTACACTGGGTGACACCGCAAGAAATGGTATTCTGATGCATTTAATAAAATGGTTTGTTAGAGTGTGAGTAAGATGGTAAACAATAGCTAAGAATAAATAACGAAAATAAACCAATATATTTGCAGTTGTCAGTTAATTGATGTCACCAAAATTTAAAACCTAAAATTTTTACAACATGGAAATAATTCATTCAATATTTTATTTACCACTCAATATACAATATTTTATTAAACAAAGTAGACAGGATTATTGAATACTGTACAGATAAAAATATTTCAATGACATTTAATTAGAGCTATTCATTAGTTTCCTTTATGCAAATGTCAACCAAACTTTTTTTTTTGAAATTTGCTCGATCCTTTCAAATATCAAATACCGCTTCAGCTTATGTTGAAATTTTTTTATAATAGTAGGAATAGTTATGCATGTATGTCAATAAGCAATAATTATCAAATTTCAAGTGATCCAATGAAGTTCTATCAGTGATATTATTAGTGGTATGTATAACAAACCATTTTATTAAATGCATCAGAATACCATTTCTTGCGGTGTCACCCAGTGTACATGTATTACTGAAATGATAGAACAAGCTACTGCAGCGCTTCCTTCGGGTTTCAAAAGAACATTTATAAACTTAACAATGCGGATTTAAAACTGTTTCACCTTTGGTGTTTAACTTTTCACAATGCAGATTAAAAGCTATTTGAACCTTTGGTCTTGAATTCCAAGCAATCTGAAATAAAAAGCTTCCATTTGAGCATTTCTGTCATCTCACAAAATTGTGTGTTTCACCATGTTCTTCAATATATTTATGACACCCATCACTTGGTTCAATCTTCTACTATGCATCGCTTCTGATAATGAAACTTTCCATCTACCTAATTTCGACACCGCTAATGAAGTTATTACAAATAATACTTATTCTGGCATCTCAGATACCTTTGGATTTCTCGATTACCTCAATTTTGAGCCAATGTTTAGCTCAGAATTTCCATCCGATCCTTCACAGCTCATTGATTTCGCTCAGTTGAGTGAAACTGAGGATATAAGCAGTGAAGAATCGAAATCGAAACTAATCAGATCACAAATTCTCCTTATCCTGGCTTCTCCGATATCTATGGCCACAATAATTTTGAGTTATCACTTAGCTCAGATATGGACTCATACAGGAATCTGTGGAGAGATGCTAACGAAGAATTAAAAACGAGTGATGATAACCTGCGATATCCTTCCATTGGAGGTGAGACTTTTGTTTTAGATACATTTAAAGATAAATAAACTTCTTGTAATTTGAGTTATTTAGATGCTCAGAATGAAACTTCTTCCTCACTTAATCTCAACAGCGATGATATTATCACATATATGCACTTACCTGGCTCACAACAAAATGCCGTTCCGATTTATTTTCACCAGCTTACTCTTCCCCCAGATGACACTTCCAGTCAAAGTGCAACTGCTGAACAGAGCAACATCGACAATAAGCACTTCTCGGATAACTTGAATATCCTCAATTATAGGGAAAATGCCTATAAAGGATTAGAAACAGGTAACGACAAATTGCATAACAAATTTCCGTTCTAATATTTCCTTACTTCATTAATAACGAGATATTGAAGAAAGAAGTAATAACGAATCGAAAATAATTTCATCACAGCAGAAAATTCACAATTACCTGCTAAGTGAGACCTTTTTAAGGAAGATATTAAAAGTGATTTTTGCTACAAATATGTGCGAAGATAAATAAACAACTACTAATTATCTAAGCCATTTAAAATGCAATGTGATATTATTTTATTTTTATGATTTCTTACATTACTTAAGTACTGAATAGTGTAATAAACTACTGATTGTAAAAATAAATGTTTGACAAAAATTTTCCAGATAAGAATGATTATACTTGTCATTACCTGGGATGTACAGTGATCACGAAAGCTCGCAAAGAATATCTAACACATAGGAAAACCCACGGTCAACCCTTCATCTATGAATGCAAAGTGCCCGATTGTGGGCGAACATTCGACCATAGATCATCATTTTATACTCACATAGAAACGCATGAACCTCGTCCTCAGTGCGAGGATTGTGGCAAATTCCTCGTTAACAGGAATGCACTGCGCACAAGAGACTCTGCCAAAAAATCTCGTTAGTTTGCAAATTTAACAGAACACATATATCAATCTGAAATGGAATACGCTTAAAATGTGCTATGATTTGTGAGCGCTGAGTGACAACACAACGAAAAATTTACAATTACACTTTTTGTTCAATTATAAGTGAAGGTAATTGTACAGCTTTTTGTGATCTAAATTATTTGAAACGAGATGTGGTAAGATTATTTCATAGCAACGATGTTTTTATGGTTTATCAGAATACTTAATTAGCTGCTAAACACCATAATAAAATATCAATTCAGACGAGCGATGCTATGAATGCCTTTATCCCGGATGTGCTACGGTCACGAAAATTCGCAAAGAATATCTAACACATAGGAAAACACATGGTCAACCTTTCATCTATGAATGCAGAGTGGCCGGTTGTGGGCGGACATTCAACCATGATTCAACACTTTATTATCATAAGCAAACGCATGAATTTCATCCTCAGTGCGAGCGCTGTGGCAAACTTTTCGTTAGCAGGAATGGACTGAATTATCATAAGAAACGCTGCCCTACAAAATCTCGTTAGTTTATAAATTTAGCAGAATTTTAATAGGTATGTCAGCCTGAAATAGAATGCATGTAAAATTTGTTGCGAAGCATTTGTGACCGCAGAGTGACCTAAGAACCAACTGCTTAAAAAGGTGTTGACAGTGGTGACAGTGACGTTTCAATATACATCAACAAACATTGAAAATATTAGCAAAGTAATGAATATTCCATCCACTCTTGGCGAAATTGGCTTTGTTTTTCTAATTCATGGAAAGTATGCAGAAAAGCATATCATTTCATCCACAAAACCAAGCTGCGATGAACTGCTAATCATTTCTTTTGGCGTTACAAAACAAGCAAAAATTTTCATTCCAGAAAATGAGACACAATTTGGGCATCCTTCGCAAACATTAAGAAAAGGAGCGTAGCAATTTGATGTTTTCGAGGTATCAGAATGCAGCTACCAATTTATAATTTCATTTTATCATTGGAATTTTTCCTATTTTATCTTTATTTATTATTCCATGAACTAGTAAAAAATGATTAGCAAATGGGTTCACAACTAAAATGAACAATTTATGATACAAAGAGCTAATATTAAAAAGCATCCCAAATGAGAAAAAAAGTATTCACCTAATAATTTATAACAAAAGTTGACATCACAAAGTTGTTTTAAGCGAAGAAATGCTATTATAAGGAAGAGAGATGATGCATTTTTAACTTACTTATCATAATTGTTCATTATTAATTTATTTAAATTCAATATGCAAAAAGTTGTTTTCCATTTATCATAAGAAAGCAGCTCTAATCTTTAATATGTTGAACAAATTTTTCTTTTCTCGATTACTAATTATAATGAAACAGAGATCCATTTGATGTTCTTCATATCAATAGACAATTATATTTTTTAATTCATTACTAAATAAATCTATGTTCTAAAAAATACATGTAGATAAAAAATGGCGCAATTGTCCCTTTTATTGACTGAAAAGCGATCAATAAAATTAGATGGAGAATAAATAGTATTTATCTGTTGAATAATGTTCAAATAAATGATCTGCTTTTGTCTCTTCACATGCTAATTCCTAAGGCCATATATGTCGTGGAAATTACTCACTTTACTCTCTGCAAATTAATAAAAAAGGCACATGGACAAAATTCATTTTCAATTAACAATTCAAAAAAAAAAATTGATCTGCATCAGTACTGATAATGTGATCATGTCATTTAGCAAAAAATTTCAGAGATTGTTTGTAAGTCAAAGATCAGCCATATTTCATCAATAATTTCTAATTTTTACATTGACTGATCATGAAAGATTGATCGCATAAACAACTAAATTTTTGTAACAAATTTTGTTACAAAAACAACGAAATGAAGAAAATAGCAAATTTTGCTAATAATTATTGCTACAACTATTGTTATACCATTTACATGTTATACTGCAAGTTGACAAACATGTTTAAAATTTTGATAAATTTAAGAAATTCATGAGGTGATTTCCCGTAATACTTCGTGGATGCTTTCAGTGCAACCTTACTTACTGGTAACCTTACCGCTAAAGAATTTGCCACAGTATGATTTATCCTTATAGATTTCTTCATGGTTGCAAAATAATAATAATACAATACTTTCCAGCATTCTTCAATTATTTGTTGTAATTTTTAATTTCCACAGTAATCCACGAGCATTTTTTTCTTATTTGTAAATATTTTACTATGAATATGAAAGAAAAATTAGCAAGTAGCCATCCTACAACAAACAAACATGCTAGGAGCATAATAATATTGTCACTGATTGTTTTTAGTAAATCTTTCAGCAAAAAATAGCTGACAGAATTGAAAGATAAATGTCAATTACAGACGCAATCACTTTATAAATTTATTTTTGACATCTAACTTTAATGAAATTACTACTACAAAAGAAATCGTACGCATGGGATACCATCGGTTTAATTATATGTAGAGGAATTCACATAAAAGAATAAAAGAAAAGGAAGGAGTGATATACTGCTAAATAGGGTACTTATATAAGGAACGAAGTGGCATCTGCATGTACCCAGATTGCGACGAAGACGCC